CAGCGAAACAACAACTCATTGGAAAGCTCTGCAAAGAGAACGACTGTGTAGCATTATGTCTACAAGAGACCCGCAGAGGCCACCAACACATTCGACCGAGGATTCCTGGAATGAAGTTGGCTATATAGAGGCCACATGAGAAATATGAAAGTGCTATCTTTGTTAGGAAAGATGTGATCATCGATCAGACCTCACTGACTGAAGAGGATAACATAGAAGTCCTTGCTGTCAACATGGGGGAACTATCAGTCACTTCTGTTTATAAACCACCGGGATCTACATTTGCCTTTACTGAACCTCAATCTTTCGACTATGACCTTGTTAATGTTATTATTGAAGATTTTAACAGCCATAGCACCTCGTGGGGATACGAAGAAACAAATGAGGACGGTGACCTTGCTGAGGCCTGGGCAGAGGCACATCATCTTGACCTAGTCCATGATGCTAAGCTCCCCCATTCCTTCAATAGCTGTCGATGGAAGAAAGGTTATAATCTAGACCTATCCTTTACAAGTGAACGAATATCATGCCAAACCAAGAAGAGAGTCCTAGAGCCAATACCACATTCACAACACGTACAGACCAATACTTGTTGACATTACTGCTGCTGTGGTACCTCAGAGAGTTCCCCTACGACGCCGTTTCAATTTTCGTAAAGCTGACTGGGAGAAGTTCGCCATCGATCTAGATGAAGCTTTATCTGATCTTGACCCAGTCCCGGCAAACTACGACCAATTCGTCCGGACTGTACAGGAGATATCCAGGAAGCACATTCCACGTGGGTGTATGGAAAACTACATACCTGGATTATCAGCTGAAAGTGCCTTGATGTACAAGGAGTACATAAAACTCTACGAGGAAGACCCCTTTTCAGAGGAAACCTTGAATGCAGGTGAGCTCCACATGGCAGCAATATCAGAGGAACGGAGGAAGTCTTGGCAAGATCTCATTGAGGGTGTTGATATGACGCACAACAGTAAGAGAGCTTGGTCTACCATTAAGAAAATCAGTAACGATCCCTAGAAGTCTACACCCCATTCTAATGTTACTTCAGATCAGGTTGCCCACCAACTTCTCCTGAATGGCAAATCGGCACACAAGAAACGCCACAAAAGGAATCCTTGGCCACAGGTTGACACAGAATCTACCCTGTACTTTAACAACTTGAAACTCCAGACGGCTATCGACTCCCTTAAGAATGGCAAGGCAGCTGGTCTTGATGACATACGTACAGAACAGATCAAACATTTTGGGCACAATACACGGGAGTGGCTGCTCTCTCTGTTCGACAACTGCGTAACCCTTTCCCAGCTTCCTAAAATCTGGCGGAAAGCCCGTGTGATTGCTATCCTCAAGCCAGGGAAAGACCCTAACGAAGCAAAGAGCTACAGACCAATCTCCCTGTTGTGCCACCTCTTCAAGCTCTTTGAGCGCCTCATCCTGAACAGACTGGGGCCAGTCACAGAACAACACCTGATACCAGAGCAAGCAGGTTTCCGGCACTGTTAACCACCGTATACTTCTCGACAAGCTCTATACTAGACAACCTGACAGACTACTACAACAACAACCATCTGAAGGCTAACCCTGCCAAGACACAGGTTAGCTTGTTCCATCTCCGCAACTACAATGCTGGGAGGAAGCTGTCCCTAAAATGGAACGATGTCTCATTGAAATACTGCAATCACCCTGTCTACCTTGGAATCACTCTTGACCGAACCCTTTCATACAAACAGCATGTTCAAAAGGTGAAGGGTAAAGTTGGGACAAGGAACAACCTCCTACGGAAACTGGCAAACTCATCTTGGGGTGCCAATTCCTCCACGCTGAGGTCAACTGCTCTTGCGTTGTGTTACTCTGCAGCAGAATATGCCTGCCCTGTATGGGGAAGATCATCCCATACAAAGAAAGTTGATGCAGCACTCAACGACAGCTGCAGATGCATCACTGGCTGCCTCAAGCCCACGAATGTGGACAGCTTGCACTCCCTGGCCGGCATTGCTCCATCCGAGGTCCGCAGAACAGTTGCAAGTAGGACTGAACGCAGCAGACAAGTTGAGGACACCCGCCATCCCCTTTACTCGCATCAACCGGCCCATACCCGCCTGAAGTCAAGGAAAAGCTTCCTTCATACAGCCCAGCCACTGTCACAACCTCCTCATTCAACCAGAGTGATCTTGTGGGAAGAGAAACGTCGCGAAAACCACCACCATGAAAAGCTACCAATCCCGACCAAGGAACAGCTGCCCCCTGGCCATAGATGTGATTGGAAGACGTGGAAGTCCCTCAATAGGCTTCGCACAGGGGTGGGGCGATGTAAATATAACATGAATACATGGGGATTTACTGACGACACCGACACCAACTGCGAGTGTGGAACATCCGTCCAATCCATGTCACACCTATTAAGATGTCCACTCCTAATTGACCAATGCTGCCTGGAAGACCTTGGGGCAGCAAATGAGAAGGCTCTTCAGTGTGCCAAGGCCTGGCAGAGCATTTGAGGACACGAAAGAAGAATACAAAGTGTATATATTCTTTTCCTGAACATGATATTATTTATTTTTGGTGCTTGATAAACCTTTATAGATATTTATCACAACTATGACATTTTAGATGGTTACCATTTCGTGTTTTTTCTTTTCTTTTTACTTTCTTCTTTCTTTTTTTCCTTCTTCATTTTCATTTTTTCTAAATTCAGTTATGAGTTATGAGTTTTTGATCGATCGGGTGGGTGGTACATGCACAACATTACTTAGTATAGGCTCTGTATAAGCTTGGCTTGTTAGAACTCTGGTGAGTAATGTGCCGCGGGATTCCATATCCTTAAACTGCTGGCGAACAGAGCAACAAGACCAAGCTCTGTAATTATTAGGATCTCTGTCCAGTAGTGCCGTGTTTGTGCCATCGAACTGGATCAACCAAATCAATTGATTCATAATATATATATATATATATGCAATATTTTTCCCGTAACATGAGAGTAATTTTAATAGTTTCATACTATTAATTAAATGTAATGTTAACTGTTATTGTATAATTGTTTTAAGTAGCTACTTGCTCCCTCTATATAGAAAACTTCCCAAATCGGTGCCTGTTGGTCCCCCATGATCCTCTTTTTCTTATGTTAAATGAGAGCTGAGTTAATGAGATAGCCACCTGTCACACTGACCTCGCTGGCTCGCTGTGTGGTCTAATCCCTTCTAGCTGCATTAGTAACGCCTACCTTTAAATGGGGGCACGCTACAAGAGTCCTATCTCGCATCCCGGGGCAACGTGTCTGACACGGCCGGTTGTAGCAACTACTCCGAAGATCAAGATTACATTAATCTTGATTTAAGGAGACACGAACGAACGGTCCGAAAATCAATAATCATTTCTATCGTTCTTGTAAATATTCAATTGAAGATAATCTAGTTTCCAAAACTGTTCGAAACGGTATACTTCCAACCAGTTGTTTACCTCACTTATGAGACCTAGCGTGTCATCGGTATATATCACAAATTTCACGTTTAAATATTCTTTGAATATTATTTCATTTTTTAGCAGCAGTAGTAGTAGAAGTAGTAGTAGAACTAGCCACCTTGTAACAACTGAAAGATAATTGATGATGCCGCTACAATTTTGTCATAATTTGGAAGTGTGTCACTTTTATATCTACAAATTCATTTAAAAGATAGATGTATTGTAAAAAACTAAATATGTAACTATTTACAATTTCATCATCTGAGCGACACAACGTTTTAAATCAAGTTTAAAATGTAAGCATAGGTTAAAGAAGGGTTGGTTAGTGCATTATTCACAACAGTGTGCTCTAGGACTGTGCTCTACCGACCCATTTGTGGTTATGTAAAATTCACTGTAAATTTGGAGAACCTCGAGATATGTTTAGAACAATCAAGACTTCGTCAACATTCGAAAACATTAATAATATGGTATAAGATCCTATGATAACTATTTAGCCAATAGAAACAGGTTATTAAGGGATTGAAACTGAGACCTGAGCAATACTCCTATACAATGTTAGAAACAGTAATAATATATTGTATGTGATTCTGTATACTACATACCCCTCCGGATCATGTGAGCTTTCAACTTTCCTCTTTTTAGCTGCCGGAGTGTATCTTGGGTGTTGCTCTTTGAATTCAAAAAGTACCAGAAATCATGATTTACTTAGGTAGCTAATACATTTCAAACGCAAAGTTTCCCATCTTTTCAATTTAAGAGTTGATCAAGGGAAGTGTAATATTACTAGCCAAATTTTCATTTATGTAATCATTCATTTATACGGATAACAAACTTAATCCTCGTAATTTTTAAACTAGCCAGCACTGCTGTTTAAGTTTTTTTATCTTGTTGAACCATTATCTTAACAGAGATTTGAATTTTTTTTTAAATTAAATATAAAATGATGTATTTATATGTACAATGCATTTTTGAACTAGGTAATCATGAAAGTATTCAAGGGAAACACATTCAGTCCTTCCTGCTTTTTCAGACAATTTTCAATATTGAAAGCAATAAAGATCTTTTACTAAACATGTACAAATTAATAATAATATAATAATAATAATAATGAACATTTGTATAGCGCCTTTTCTACAAGTAGATACAAAGCGCTTAATTAACATATACAATGAACAATTAACAAAATAGAAAGATGCTTAACAACAGACATGTATGTAACAATATAGGAATGAACAAAATAAAGGGTAAGACAGGTAATAGAAGAGCAAGAACAAGTGCTGGTAAGCGGGCATTAGTTAAACAAGTGTGTTTTGAGGTGTTTTTTGAAAGTCATTAGAGAATCAGCAGTTTCTACAAAATTGGGGAGATTGTTCCATGATTTTGGAGCAGTGGCTATGAATGCCCGCTTACCAGCATTGGTTCGACACCTTGGGGTATCTAAAACTGTACGAGTGTTGGATCTTAGGTTGTAACTGGAGTGCCTAACATGAACGAGATCAGTAAGATATGAGGGAGAGAGATAGTGTAACGACTTAAAGACAAGGGTGGAGGTCTTGAAGAGCACTCGCTGTTGAATAGGAAGCCAATGCAGAGAGTTCAACAAGGGCGTGGTGTGTGTGCTCTTTGGTTGTTTGAAGATGAGGCGTGCAGACTGGTTCTGGAGAAGCTGAAGACGGTGAATGTTCTTTGCTGTTGTGCCACTCAACAAACTGTTACAGTAATCAAGACGAGATAAACTAAGGCACGGACTGCAGCATGAGTGGTACTTTCGTCAAGATATTTTCTAATCCTGCATAAGTTCCGGATATGATATTTGACAGTCCTGACTACATTTGAGACGTGAACATCTGGCAGCATGAGGTTGTCAAAGACGACGCCAAGAATACGCAGCTTCTTTGACGGTTTAATCACAGTCCCATCATGAAGAGTTAGAGTGAAGTTCTGGAGCAATCGTTGATGGACTTTCGAAGCAAAGACTACTAACTCAGTTTTGTCTTGATTAAGTTTCAATTTGTTGGATGTCATCCACCTGTAGACATCTCTCATTGCATCCCGTAGTCTGCATGCAGCATGATCAACAGAGTCCTGGCTAGAAGGGTCGCATTGTATATACACCTGTATATCGTCGGCGTATACATGATAGCCTATGCCATGACTGTAAAGGATATCAGATACAGGTTTCGAGTAGAGCGTAAAGAGCAGCGGGCCCATCACCGATCCTTGCGGGACACCGAACTCCAACCTGGTGTCTAGTGATTTCACTCCTCTGATTCGCACATGTGATAGTCGGTTGCTCAGGTATGATCTAAACCAGTGCAGTGCTGTGCCAGAGACACCATATTCATCCCGAAGCCTTGTCAGCAAGATCGTGTGGTCAAGAGTGTCAAATGCAGATGACATATCTAGCGACAGTAGAATGACGCATTTCCGATCATCCAGAGCACATAGGATATCATTCTGAAGACTCACCAATGCAGTCTCAGTACTGTGATTTTTCCTATATGCAGACTGTTTAGGATCACCAAGGCTGTTGTCTTCCAAGTAGTTGGCTAACTGTGATGAGACGACTCTTTCCATAAGCTTGGCTACAAACCTTATGTTCGAAATGGGCCTGTAGTTTTTCATTCTTTCTTTGTCAAGTCCTGGCTTCTTCAAGACTGGTGTCACAGATGCAACACCTAGAGATGATGGAAAATCGCCTGATGCCAACGATGCGTTGATGATATGCGTCAGCTTTGGCAGCAAAACAGGAAGGTGACGCTTCAGGAGCCACGTTGGAAGAGGATCCAAAGGACATGTCTTGTTGGGTGAGCGTTTGATCAGCCTCTGAACCTCCTCTGATGTGACCAACTGGAACTCCACGAATGAAGGGGCTGAGATTGCCATACCATTTGGATTGTCCAATTCGTCAACGTTTAAGTCATCTATACATCTCCGCAAGTCTCTGATCTTCTCACTGAAGAATGTGCAGAATGTAGAGGCAAGCTCAACTGATGAATCAGCATCTGGGAGAAATCGTTTACTCTTATTCAGAAGATGCTTCAGTTCTCTATACATGTCCTTTGGAGTACTTTCAGAAAACAGGTCATTGTAGTAGAACCGTTTAGCCCTTGACAGAGCTTCAGCTGCAGCAGCTTTAGCTTCACAGTAGGCCGATCGATCGCTATCGGGATTGACTTTAAGGGATTTACGCCATTTCCGCTCCTGTCTTCTGCGTTCACGTCTTGCAGCATCAACTTCTTCGTTGTACCACTTTGGCCTGTGACGAACTTGCGTGGTGCGGAGACATACAGGCGCATGGATATCCAGGACACGCTCCATGTCTCTGTCAAGATTGAGCACGCAACTGTTTACATCCTCCGCCAAGGGTTGATTGTCAAGGAAACTGGCAAGATCATCGGCAAACAACGTGTGATCAATGTTGCTGAATTTGCGATATTCCTGTGGCCGTTCATCTGTAGATGGTCTTTCACCACGGATCATGCAGCTCACGGCTACATGGTCGGACATGAGGCTCGGATCTGTACGTATGGAACAGAGAAGATTCTCATCTTCCCTCGCAATCACTACATCCAATGTATGGCCGTGTCGATGAGTTGGCTTTGATATGTACTGCTTGAGTCCTGCGGATTTCAGCGTATCTACAACGCGTGCGACATCAGGTCTCTCGGGACAGTCATAATGGACATTCAAATCACCTAAAAGCAGTAGCTTCCCAGGAGTCTGATTCATGTCATCGATGAAGCTGTCAAATTCTTCGAGGAACGTAGATGTTTTCAGACCATTCGTGCTGGATGGTGGTGGACGGTACACAGCAACATAGTTCACCGAACGAGCTTTGTCTGTAATAATGCAGTGCTCAAATGTTGTAAAATGAGGATCAATAGTCACTTGATGTAGTTTCAGATCAGACCTGACCAGAGCACCAACACCTCCGCCACGACCGCCAGTGCGTGGAACATTGGTGAAAGTATAACCAGGTGGTGTTACCTCAGCAATTACAGCGTCATCATTTTCAGTCAGCCATGTCTCTGTGACAAACATTACATCAACTTCGTTGGTGATGACATAGTCTTGAAGAAGAAGAGATTTATGTCTCAGTGAGCGAGCATTCCAGTGACATACATGCTGTAATGTTTCATTTCCGACATTTGCATCAATAACAACATTGGAAGAGTCAATTCCCGTTGACCTCACTAGTTGTTTCCTTCTTGCTCTGTTACCAGCTCGGCAACCTCGATACCTCAGAATGCCATTTTCCTTCAGTAGGGATAGTACATCTGCTGATGGTGTGACCTTAGCACATCTTGAATGTCTCAATGCAATCAGGCTGGACCTTGAATACCGGAGACCATGAATGGGCTTTGTCTCCATTGTTGAAGGGCTTTGATGCACGGTCCAGTGTCTAGACATTTCACGGTTCAGACATAAGACTCTAAAATGGTCAAAGTCTTTGTCAATGTTGCTATTCAAAATGCAGTCCTTTGAACCTCCGCATAATAGGTGCTCTGTACTGTAGCTTAACACTGCTAGCAGTACAAGTGAAAGTGCAGCAAAATCAGTCGAAAACATATCCTAAAATCTCGCTTTAATCATTCATGAAAAACCACTCAAACACTGTCCAGTAGGATGACAAGGTCCCAAAATGAATGTTGATATAAAAATTGAAGGCAATAGTAGTCAGGAAACACATATAGTAACACAAAATCAGGAGAGCATCCTGAGAGTGGCAGCAGTAGTAAACAGCGCCTTCAACTCTATTTTATATAAACTTCTATGAGATACTTTCACAACAACTCAGTCCATTCCCTTAGAATTGAAAAATGTTGCATCCGTGACTATTTGCAAAGTTAGCGAAGAGTTAAAAACCTTCACTATTGTATTTTTTACAATTTCTTCGAAAATATTTAGCCAGCTCTAATTTTGTTAAAAATAAAATGAAAGGAAACACAAATTCTTATCACACGTACCTTTTTCATCGCCCTTCTCTCTGCTTGTTTAAATATCAATTCATTGCATATATTGTTAATGAAGTGTGTGTGTGGGGGGGGGGGGGGAGGGGGGGGGGGGGTAAAGAAAGAAAGAGAGAGAAAGATAAAATGTTTGTTACTCAGGTTGCTTCTGGCTTGAAAAAATTGTGTGTACTTTTAAATTAACATCTATAGTTAAATTCCAAAGGTTTTCCCCTAATCCCCTTCCACCGCTTTTCCTTAAGGTATTTATTTGATCGATTTTGCCAAGCGGACAATCTCATGAACTATCACTTGATGTCTTTTATGTCATATTTTTCCCAATAACATTCGAAATCATTATTAAGATGTTATAGTATACATTGTAAAGATCATATGATAATTATTTAGACAGTAGTAAAATGTTATTAAGGGATTTAAACTGAGCCATGAACACTACTCCTATAAAATGTTGGAAATAGTCAATATATATTGTATGTGATTCTGTATACTACATACCTCTCGGGATCCTTGGAGCTTTCAGCCTTCCTCTTTTTAGCTGCCGGAGTTGGTCTTGGGTGTTGCCCTTTGAATATAACAAATTAGCGGAAATCAGGATTTACTTAAGTAGGTTATACATTCCAAACGCAATGTTTCCTTTTCACTTTAAGCGTTGATCAAGGGGAGTGAATAATAGTAGCCAAATTCCCATTCATTCATAACAAGAACGTACGTAGTCCTCTTGATCGTCATCTAGGCAGCACTGCTGTTCGAGGTCAAGATTTTCGATGATAATCTTTACAGAGATTTGGAAAATGTTCTAAACAGAATATTTAAGGACGTATTTATTTTTACAATGCAGAATTAAACTTGCAATTCATGAAAGTATTCAGGGGTATTAAACTCAGTCTTTCCAAAACTGTGAAGGTCAATAACAAGAAATCGATGGGATTACGAAAAATATGGATATTGAGACAAAATGGACGCAAGAAAAACTTCCCATGATAGCGAACATGGTGTACGTTTTCAGAAAGGAAGCCTACTTCTACGAAGACATAACTCGCATAAGATCGAGTTGCCTTCGATATATGAAATCGGTACTGAACAGTGTTTTTAAAAGAATATGAATTATGCCGCAAACGAACAGACAATATATCACTTCAATTCCTAGCGTTACGAAATATTATTTTCAGAGAATTTTCAATTAAAAAACCAATAAAAACAATAAAGAAATTGTAATGAACATGTACAAATCAAAGATTTTTTCTATAAACTTCTATGAAATAGTTTTACAACTGCTCAGTTTCCTATCAATACACTTATATAGTATTGCATTTTTTAATAATACAGAATGAACAAAATGTTAACAATGTATATAAGAGGTACTGTTGCATAGATGACATGAATTTCGAGACCAAAAAAAAATGTCCTTTTACACCCCCCCCCCCCCCTCCCACCCCCGCTTATTCAGTGGTCGGTTGAGTCGTTGCGTTTTGGGGGGGACTCAAAAAAATAAAATAAAAAGGGAACTCTTACCCCCCCCCCCCCCCCCCCCCCCCCCGCCCCCCCCCCGCTTATTCAGCGGCTGGCTGAGTCGTTGCAAAATTTTCGGCCGGATTTATAAATATTAAACACCCCCCCCCCCTTGAAAAATTCCTGCTTATGCGCCTGCATACAAGCTATGCTCGTTACTTAGGCTCCCCACATTTTACACTGTGTTTTACCTTGCCTATCTTATCTATATATTTCGAAATTTCGTACTATTTAAACTGTTTTTTAATGTAAAATCTGGAATAAATAATCTTCAATTAACCAATCAGCATCGACTGTCCTCGACATACTCGACATTCACAACAATTGACCCCCATCTTGAACCTGGTGTCCCTCATTGCCTACACACATTTCTGATCAGACACCTTTCATAGTGCAACACCCATTCACAACACACACTGGCCATAAGTTCTCTGTGATGGCTGGCACACTTCATAACATTTCTTTAAAAACTAATTTTTAAGAGACACACCTAAATATCTGCATACACCACAACATTCAGTGAAAATTGTGTGTTTATATCAGAGCAAAATTCTACAATCGAAATTACTTATCTTGGACAATTTTTCCAATCTCCTCGGAGAAAGAACGCAATGTAGTGTTCGAAATGAATTTGATATATGCAGTAGTGTTGTTAAAGGCCATAAATGGCGCTATATCAATATTGTAGCCAACACGGACAGACAGTGATGGGGTCAAGCTTGGTGGTTTCCAATTCCCTACGGTCTCCAATTCCCTACACCTAGCCTATGTTAAAGATGTATTTAAGAAATAACGTCAACTTCATGAAAACAAAGTATCAGAAACTGAAAGATGCCCAAATATATATCACTTTGCATATTTTGAAAAGGAAAAAAACATATCAAAGATAGTAAAGTGTCTTTTTCCTCCATGAATATCCCTATTTGATGATATTACGATATTGGGGTGAGCAAAAATTTTCAACCCCTAAAAGGGTAAAGTGACTAAGGCTCGAAAATACACGGGGGCGATTGCAAAATTTAAAATCGCCCCCGTGGAATTATAAAATAAAGATTATCGTTTCTGTTATAACTTTTACACACTATTGAATTTCAAACAATCAATGACATGGGACTATGAAAGTAAGATTAGCGAGCAGGATTCTTCGCTTGGATGTATCGGTGTCTCGAGGCCGCCATGTTGTAAACAAATGTACGCTTATTCGCCTCAAAATGGCGCTATATCGCCCACCTCCACATCTCTATGAGTATGACCGATACGCCCGCAGTGCAGTGCGGCCGTCAGCAGCAGTTGTACCGCGCAGGTAGTACCTAGTTTGCAGGCACAAACCCTGGTCAGTCGTAACAGAGAGTCTGCACTATAAGACTTGCGGACTATAGGTAGTACCGGTGTAGACGCTGCCGCGCCATATCTGCTGAAGCTAGAGGCGATCGCAAGCGCCTTAACATGAGAGCATATTGAGAAGAAGAGGAAGACCAAATATGTTGTGGAAATAATATGGTAAAAACTAAATAAACAATGTAATAACGTTGCTGTGAATGGTGAGGAGGAATGTGCAGAACAGGAAGAAATAGAGAAAATGTAATCACGGGATGAAAGTCAATAAACCCACGTAACTTGTAAGAGCGAAAATGCCGACTTCAATAAATGATAATGATAAAGTGGTAAAAAAGAATTTAGGACTATCAATGGAAATTTGTATTAAAAAAGAGCCCCTGTGGAAAAAAAAATCCAGGCTTGAGTCATGGACTAGGAAAAAGGTATTATGCTATAATTAGTAGACTTAAGACTGGTCATGAATGACTGAGCCAACGTACGCTACGCCACTGAGTGACATCGTACTCAAATAAATAAAATTATGCCTATCAAATGAATTGAAATTTGGAAGAGGATCAATTTCAGTCGGTGTTGCGTTTATTACTCGGATCTTTTCTCACTTTTCAAACAATTTCAAACGTTTGATCGATAAAATAATTATACATAGTTTCATTGCAATAAAACTATATTCAACCATAATTTTGTCTGCGAGACAACAGTTTTGTTATTTGTCTTCCATATTAAGAATTTATTAATCTCTAAATTACACAAATTTTCAAATCATGCACATTGTTAATCCTTGTCGAAAAAAATGTATACAGGATAATGACTCTCTCTACTCTTTTTCGAGTTATGTTTAGGAAAAGTATTTTATAAATTGGTCTGGCCCCTGTTTCCCATTCACGTAATACTTTACAGTGACTCTACGTCGTAGCCTCCAAAACGCATTATGCATGCACAATAATTGAAGCACGAAACGAAGAGGAAAATGCGTTATGATTATAATCATAATATTTTGGATTTAGTCACTGTTGTACTGGATGCATTCATTGGAACAGCTTAAGAGTTAATACGAAATTCCGTCTCTTTACCCTTTACAAATATTATTACCCCGTTCATCGGATGTATTCAAGCACAATTACCCAGTTAAAACATATCATATTGAAGGCAGCTGGAATATCATTTTCTTTTTTCTTCAATAGTTCTGTCACATCTTGACCAGTGTGTTGACAATTGATTATTTGAAATGCATAAAGGCTTTGTTTTTGAGCTCAGTAATGTTGTATCATCACTATGTGGTTTTTCAGTTATAACTTAACATACTAAAGAAAAATTTACGAACCTGCTTTGATGACATCAGCAGACTCCTTCATTCCATTTTCTAGGAATATCTTTCTCAGATTCAGAGCACTTTCTCTCTTCCGTCCATGTTTCATAACAAACTTGGACAAGAGAGTATTGAATGCGCTCTTTGGATCCATGGTGAGATTGGCCCCATCCGCTGCAGCATGGCCATGGGCTGTGCTGAATCCCAGGCATACGCTGAACTCCACTGCGCGGACATTCTCAAGATTA